TACACCAGGTTTCATTTATCCTAAGTTTTCAGTGAAAACCTACATAGTAATTTCGCTTATCTTGCGTTGTTAAATATACGTTAATCTAAGTGAACCATGCTTAACGAACTTTTTTAATAGATGACGACGTCTGCGCTATTGATATAAGCCTGCAGGTCATCAATGAAAGATGATAGATGAGAATAGAAGCGCCCTGCTTAATTAGCCCATCGTGACGAATTCAATAATAATTAATCACGATGATATCTAGGGGAAACCGCATGGAGGCCGATCTGATAAAGTATTTTTCTAGCAATGGGGTTGCTTGGTTTTTCCTCTACTGAAGGAAGTTAGTTTCGCTTAGCTCTCAATGTAACTTAACTTTAGTTATGAGCTGTATAACTTTACTACCTTCGTACATTGATGGTAACTGGAAGTGTTTGCTGAAGGCCTCTTGCTTATCTTGTTAAATAGTCAAATATATTATTGCAAAATATATTTCTTGCACATCTATTTATTTGTTGTTATTTAAAATCTAATTTAAAATTTTACCTTTTACGTTCTATTTTGTTAATAAAAAATTCGTAAAATATTAGCTTTATAATAGTAGATAGGCATATCTCAATATTTTTGTGATGTTATGTCGATCTTTCGAACTTAATATAATACGTATATGGACTGATATGAGTTATTTATATGTGTAATCGATTGCAGTATGCTATGTTATCTCATGTTTTTTTTTCAGTAATTTTAAGTATTAGATATATATCTCGTTTAATATTATTTTTTATATATGAAACGATAAATCCTTTTATGATGACTTGATCAATTTACGCTAATCTCTACAACGTGGAGATAACTTGGTCTGCTTGGTTGTCATGATTAATCAATTTTAATGAAATCGAAATTAATCGTTACATAATTTTTTTTTTGATGGGTGAAAATGGTATGGTAACACCCCGCCTGCGTTAACGGAATACGCTGGCGGAGCACCAGTGAAGGGTGATCGATGAGAATGAAAACAGGCCAGTTAGCTCATCATGATGAATTCATCAGGAATAAATCATGACCTCGAATGAACCAACTTCTTTACTCACATGAAATTCTAATAATATGTTAAGGGAATTTTGAAATAAATTACAAACTTTCTACATTTATCTGTATTTATATTTTCGTATGTATGTTTAATTTCTATAATGAATGTTCATACTTTTCTGACCTCTCTAGATCCTCCCCGGATCTACACAATCTAATATCGCATTATAGTTATTTTCACAAGATGTGCAATAACAATAAATATAAAAATTAATTTGTTTAAATATTTTTTATTAATAACTAATTAATTAATAATTTAAATAACGTGAAATTTTATTTGTTTTGAGTTTTAAATTGATATGAAATGATCTTGTTCTGTTTGATGATGTTGTTCTGTACATTAATATCAACAAAATCTCTTTTAAAAAATCTAATTACCTTTTTATCATATAATATTAAATCATGTACCGCATTACCTACTCTACATTTTGTGTGCTCACCTACTTACCTGTCACCTTCTTTCTGACTTCTGTCGATTTCTAATTGAAATAGCAATAGAAGGGAAAGATAACCATAGCGATCACTGACAAACAGATAAATACATGAGTAGGCAGCAACACAATTGTGCTGAATGAGAGGCTTACAGTTTCTGTGGCGAGAGCTATCACTTGCTAAAATAAATAATCTAATTATTTGCTATGTTCTATAAAACACTCTTATTTGAAATCACCGAAATAAACACATAGTTTGTGTCTTTTTGTGTAAGTTAAAATTATACCACCACCATTTTCGTACACCAAAAAGGGAAAATGTATATATTACTACATCAAATTTGTAATACTGTTGTTTGTCATTTAAAATGTTGTTATTTATTTGTTACCTTGATTTTTATCCATGATATTTTTCTTTAATTACCAGGAAAAAGGTCACAGGAAAATTATTACAGAAAATAAAGCGTTATCAACGTCAAAGATTAAAAAATTACCTGTTTTAAAACTTCCATAAATAAAATAATATTTTTTTCTTTTTATAAATAAATATAAATAATAGTTCCCATTTATTTTATCAAAGTATGCAAAAAGTATTAGATTATTCTACTTCAAGTTAGGTATCTAGTACACGAAAATATTTCTAACCGTCCAGATGCGACAAAGCTTAAGGTTATTTATTGTATTAGAATATAAGTGTTTTTAATTTGAAAAATACTAAGTTTGAAACACTGCTTTAATAAATAATGAAATAAACCGCGTAGTTTTTTAATTTATAACTAAAATTTGTATGTGTTAAAAATTCAAAGCAGAATTGGAAATTTGTGAAAATCGCTGCAAACGCAGATACAATATTCGACAATTCGAGTTGAGGACATGTCAAGTGCCGGTAACAGCAATTAATATTCATAAAACAAGACACTTCTCTCACTGCCAGGTACCACGAGTATTTATTTAGACATTGTTTAGAAAGTGTTCATCGAAAGTTTTGCTCCGATTGTTTTAGACAAATATTACCTATTTTTTTATGCAATTTGTAATGGCAAACAAGGTGACGACCCACTTGAGTAACTGGACTATAGATATTAAACATGAACAACACCATGAACTTGTCAGGATAGCTTGCCTACTAATACCAAATGTGAGCAAAAAAAAAACTATATAAAAACTAAAAACTAATTATATATCAACTATCAAGGATGGTACCTATAAAGTAGTAGCAGTATAAATGTGGTTATTTGTTGCAGATATATGATTACATTTACTTCTTTTAGCTTCATTTACATTCACAATGATATACTAGCGATCCGCCACGGCTTTGCTCTATTCTTTTAAAAAATAAAATACAGCCCATGGTACTCGCTGATAATATGATTACTCGTTGATGTGTTTGAATTTTTGAAATTGGGTGAATATTTTTAAGTTTATCTATTACAAACAAGTAATAATATCTTTCCTTGTTATAACTTTTAACTGTCTTATTTTACTAGAAAGTATAAAAGGAGAAGTATTTTTCAGATTTGTATGCTATCTTGGGTTTGTATGCTTCTATCACGTCCCTGATTGTGGGGAAAAAAGTTTTAATTGGTGTTTTTTTACGAATATCATCATTAGATAACATAACTCAATTTTGTACATTAAAAAAATACGAAATAGTTTTTAACAAGCAAATATTTGCATGTACCGGGATTAATCAGGTACAATTTGTTTGAACCTGTAAAAAAATCTGAGATTTTTCACTGTTCACCATTGAATATTCTGATAAGCAAGATAATAGGAAAGATAATACTTTCGTCACAAAGTGGAATGTTTGCTAGCGAAAAAATTATATTACTAGACGTTTGTTTTTTTCGTGACTATGTTTATTTTATAAGATTGATATACCCCTGGTAATTTTTATCAGTAAACAATTAAGAATGCGATCACTTTTACACTATGTTTATGATATTATAATATACCACTTATTAGACGTATTTGTTATTACATCTTATTCCACGGGTAGTTAATTAATGATACTCCTGTAATAGTATGTTCAAAGCCTACAAATACATGCTGACATGTCATGCAAGTCATGCAAGTGGTAACAGTTTTAATTAGTTTTTGAACCGCTGAGGACAAAATACATATGCGTAAATATTATCATCAAGAATGGGTAACGAATGAGCAAATTTGATTATATATACTATTCCTTTCTAATTAAAATCAGTATATACATATATATAATAAACAAAAATTTTTTCAGTTCAACACAAGAAACCATGACAGGAAAACCAAACTAATATTGGTTTTAATTTATTTTTATGCTTTCAATTTTAATTCATATAATTTTTTAACTGGCAGCTCCTGAATTCAGTCACTGATACGTGGATTACCCATACATTAAGGATAGTACCTGCGGTCTTCTTTCTATGGGAGTTTCCTACAATTATTCTTATAGTAGTTAGATTTAAATGTGTTGTCTTGCTCAGTATATACTTTCGTTTGTAATTCAACACACACACACACACACACACAAACATACACACACACACATATATATATATTTATATACAGGTTTTTGCTATTTATTTAATTGCGTGGAAGGACTTATAATAAGGAAATTATATTATTATGATTTAGTATTATTACCATGAATTAATAATGTATTAACAATATTTTTTTCTATGCCGTGGAGAACTAAGTTAAAATTGTCTGTTTGTGTGATAGCTCAATATACACAGCGGCTATTTACATAAACGTAACTCTCATAGTACCTACTTATTTTGCTATTCATACTCAATGTCCAACATGCAAATTTTTATGTTTGCCAAGCAGAAAGTTGTAGATTTTTTCCATTACCCAATGGAACAACACCTATTTAACCCATCAACTTAAAAGTATACCAGTTACTTATTGTACCTTGGCTGGTACTAGTACAACCATAATAATATAACTTTTCCTTGTAGAATATTCAATTCTATTAATATTGCGAATATGAGCCTGCAAAGATTTTTAGCTTTAAACTACTAAATCACGCTTAAATAGGTAAAAGGATTTGAATTAAATTTATTCAATAAATGGACCATGTCTAAAACTTTTGTCCTAAATCCAAAATCCCTGATTATAGAAATATTAAAAATATTTTATTTATTTATTTATACTTCATTGTATACACTAATAATATATAAAGATATAACAGAGATACGCAAATGTACAAAAGCTAGCTTAACTCTAAAAGAGTTTTCCAGCAAACTCGAAGTGGAAAGAAGCATCAATGATACTTTTTTAAAAACCTTTGAGCAAGACTTATCGCTTTATATATATTAAAACTTTCAAATTCATTTTCTAGCTTGGTCAATTATGAAACCGACTTTACTAAACAGGCGTGTTCTGGACTTGTACTATCAGAAATCCAGATGTTTGATCTCTTATCCCTCATAACATATTGTATCCTAATTTTAGTGGACCTAGCAAGTATATGGTACAAAATATTTATGGTTGATTTTTTTTTTATTACAGATGCGTGTTTACGGTGCCAAGGAGAGAGCAAGAAGGATTCCTATGGCAAACAAGACTGTGTGGTAGTATGGGGCGAGTGCAACCACAGTTTTCACTTCTGTTGTATGTCACTTTGGGTAAAACAGAATAACCGCTGTCCACTTTGCCAACAAGAATGGTCTATACAGCGCATGGGCAAATAAAATAAACGTCATCTCTCGGTCTACAAACTTATATCGTCGCCTGTATTTTAAGTAGAAAATTTTGCTTTCATTAAAAAACGTTATTTAATATATACAATTTATTTCTATTAATAATCCCCGTCACATACTTAGGAGTGTAAGAAGTAATAAATACTTAAAGACCTTAATTCACGATTAATTTCTGTTATCATTCATATGCATAATATTATTGATAATAGAAATCAATTTCTTTAACGACCTAAAACTATTTGCTAGTAGAATAATGAAAACCGCTAGTATTGTTTGCGTGAAAGAAACAAGCATTCATCCACCCTCACAAACTTTCGCATTTATCATTGTAGTAGGTCTAGGTTACTTAGTAAAATCTTATTAATCAATAAGTTGCCAATATCACTAAAAGTTATCGTATTATTATTAATATCTATGAATAAAATACATCTTGTCCTTATGATTTATCTATATAAACTATACATGGCACTGGAGTGAAATTTTTTGACGAAAAAACTCTCAGTATAGTTCCTTTACCTACGGTGAAAATAATACAATGTTCAGAATAAAATATGATTTAATTTTATAGGTACCTATTTAGTTTGGTAATAGAGCAATTGGATAATAAAGTGATATAAATAGGTAGGTATGATACCTACCTATTGACCACACGTGGCTTATATAATTGTCAATCAGGAGATAATTAATGCTAAGAATTCTTGATTATTTAATTAGGTTGTAAATCAATAAGTTCATAATAGTGATAATTTATTAATAGGGAATGAATGTTGCAATTTTTATTCAAGCTAATTTGTATTACAGTTTATAAAACTGCATAGTGTTGGTTTTTAGATGAATATGTAGTGATAACCTCATTTACGATAATAATAATCCCAAGTAAGGGATGATTGGTAAGAATGAATATAAATTACTCCAGTACGCTCTCTTAACTCGCACAATACAGATATTAAATAATATTATAAGCATCATTGATGTTTGTAGTAATAGCCTGCCAAAGATATTAGAAGCGACTCGGAAATATCTGGAGTCAGGTTAAGTACTATTAATATAATTTTGTATGTAAGCACTAGGATCATAACATTGATTTAGTTTTAACTGTTATAATTATTTTAAAGAATAAATGAATAAAAAAACTTAGCGGTTTGGCTATAAAGTACGTTATACGTTAACTTTTAACGATGACTATTATATATAATTATTATTCTATTATAATGCCTTTTGTGTACTATACAGTATACTTTTAGCGTCAAAAAGTAATCTGTCATATCCATGCGGCTGATCATGTCTATAAGTGACGGTTATCCCTTTACATCAGGTGGACTGTTAGCTTGTTTATCATTTTAAATTGCATAAAAAAACTAAACCGATCATTTAGAGAGTTTCTTAATTTCTCTTGTCATTAACAGTTATATCTATTATTACATTTTATTATAGACATCTTTTTTACATTTATGACATTTATGTAAAATTTATTTGATACGTATTACTATATAATTTTATGTTTTGGTTTTTATTATAGGCAAATAAATATTGTATCTAAAGGTGAAGCAGTTGTGAATTGGCCACTTTTCTAAAAGCATAAATACCTATGTAAAATGCCACTTGATTACACCAACTGCCCAGTGCTTGAACTACGAGTAGGATAGCCTGTATAATAGATGAAACCAAGCTACGAACATCTCATGGTATGATTTACTCTGAGGTTGTATGTCATTAAGTTAAAATAATAAATCCTCTGGCATCAATTTGCAAGATTACATCGTCTTGTCCGTATTTATGACACCATCGGTGATAATTTGTCAAATAGTCACTTAGAATCGTGATTCATACATAACTCTCAAACTTCGACGTCTAAATTTCAAAGACCACTTACACTACGCAACGTTGAATATTGTAAATCCTTATAATATTATATATAATGTATAATGAACTTTTATTTTTTGCTTTTTGGCGATTTAGCTGCTCAACCCATCATCATAAAAGGTATACACGTAATACACCTATTTGGCAAGGAAAATAATATTTATGAGCTACTTATTATCCCGTTAAACGATTCATTATTATCCAGTCACGACGGGATTTAGCTATAATAATAAATTCTGTATAAAATGACGTAAATTTCACCAAATAATATTTATATTATCCAACAGCATTTTATGAATAGGTAATGTCAATCTAATGGGCAAGGTCAAAAATACCCGGAAATTTATGCAATTTTAGAAGCTAAATATTGCGCTAGAAGGTCATCATATAAGTTGTTTTAAGATTTTTTGTCATATATATGTTTTTATTGCATTGTTAAGGTTATAATTGGTACCTAGCTAATATTATTTTATAAATTTAAAACATCTTCAATTTCTAGTACAGGTTAGTTGTAGTTAAACATATCAAGTAGATAAAATATGTTTAATTACTATTAAAGCTTATAGAAATGTATATATTTGTAGATAACTGTCGCTTTTAGATCTGAACAATATTGCACACATCACTCAATAAATTAGATATTTCTCATTCTGAACATTAGGTAACTTACCTTTCTGACCAAAAACAACAACGCATGCATTGTAGTTTCACGGTAGATATTCAACTAAGTAAGACATTGGTTGAAACCTACCCAAGTGGATAATTTTAACTACCAAACCAACCCACTACAGATAGAATTGCAATAAAATTTATATTTCTTGTCTTTTTAAATGAGAACACTTGTACTATTTTCGTAGGATTTGGTTATATTTTATTTTTATAAATATTTTTATATATTTTATAAGGTTTATATACAATTTAGTTTATTTCAATATAGGTTTATATACAATCCTACAATAAAATTGCAATCAACGAGTATACCAAAAGGAGTTTTAGGAGTTTTAGTAGTATCTTCATGGCTATGTTCATCAACAGACCCAACAAAAGGTCAAAAAGATGACCTAAAATTATTAATGTCATCTCTGGAACTGATTCCATAATAAATGAACCTATATCGTTCTTGAAGGGTAAAGTTCCAGTGAAAGTAGATTTTAAAGTATAATAATTTGGGGTATAGACTGAAATTACTAAATATATGGTGCAGTTCGTCACTGCAGGCTTGGTTTAGTTCTTTCTTTTAAGTCAGAGGTTAGCTTGTTTAACATTACAAGTCGCATATTTTTTTTGTTGGAACTTTGGTCTCTAGTGCAACTTCCAATTTTTATCAGTCGCGCAAAGTAAGTTTGCCCATCCCTATTATAAGCGATTAGATAAAATGATAACATTCATGACTATCTAATATACTGGAGCCGGAATTTGATAAGTATTGATTGTTGTATAATACCTGCATAAAACAAACTTTGTATTGATTGACATAAGGTTTGATTTGTTTTTAATTTTTATAGTAATGGGAGCAGCTAGCATTAATAAACGTTACGTTTATTTATCAAGCAAACGACCGATGAACCTATAGAATTATTGTTCTATAGGTTAATCAAGTCGTTTGTTTACGTACGATGCGACAAAAAAGATTCACAAGAGGGGGAAGGGATTGTTAGTAATGGAGACTAACAGCTACATTGCCTGTTAGCAATATATTGCTCTATAGCCTGCCAGATTGACCTCCTCGCAGTCCCGTCTGGAAACCGTCGTGCTTAATTTCAGGTGAATTCACAACGATGGACTAACTGACCTACCCTTACCATCTTTCATTCGTCCTCCGCCAGCGTATACCGTAAGCGCAAGCAGTGTTACTATTCCACTATCACACATAAAAAAAATGGGCGTCACAAAATATCCATGCAACTCAACAACTTTTTTATTCCAGAGAATGAGCTTTATCATATTTTCTAGAGATTATATCGGATTAAACAGGGTATAAATAGGTAAGGCGCCAGTAAGAAACACAGAGCGAAACAGTAATATTTTGGATATTGCTCTAACAATGATGTAGGTATATTACCATATATAATCCATAATTAATTTTTGTAAGCCATTAATCATAGTAATACATCACCAAAATAAACACTACGGTAATAATTGCTCATAATCTCTCGAGTGATGGAGGCGTTTATTTTTTAACGAATAGGTACTTGTAGAACTATCAAATCAAAATCCATTGTCAGCAATGACACTGCTGATATAATGTGGGTATAATATGATTTTATCTAATTTCTAGTTAGTTCCCATTATCTAGATAGAGAGAAATACTTTTTATACTAGTGAGTGTAGATATAGAAAATAGCAAACAGACGGCTTATTGCAAATATTGTTAAACCATCAAAATCCACTGTCAACAATGATAAGTATTGTATACATTGAGTGATATTGATGTTATTTCTAGTTTATTCCATTTATCTAAATAAATGTAACACTACAGGCATTTTTAAGAACTGTATTCCACAGCTTTACCGGGGTCAATTGGAAAGTTACGTTTTATTTTTTACTAGCTACATTGCTCTGGCTTTGCCCGCGTATGTCAGTGTACTTATAATATAACCCCCTTATTCATAAAAACTTGCTACAAATCTATTTTAACTGTCAGATTGCTTTGACATTTTCTTTCAACCTAATAATTTCGCCACATAGAAAAAAAAAGCAAAAAAACTTCTATGGGTAAAATAGGCCTCTCCGCTCAGCGAGAAGTTTTTAAAGTTTCTAAAATTACTAACATTATAGAACGTTACAAATACAAATTGACATAAGTTTCAGTGTAGTGTGACTGTTATTCAAATATTATTTTTTAGACATCTGTCTGACGCTTCACAGTAAGAAATAGATTTGAAGTGATTTCTAATGCAAATTAGTTGTACAAATTAGTGAAATTCTCACTATATTATTATTGCATTATCAATAATCATTTGACTCGTGATTTTATAAAGATAATTTATTTAGCATTACAATAATGACATTTTAGAATCGGCAGCATTCTTAGACACCGATTATTACATTGTTATTCAACTAGTATAATTAATAATGTCACGTAACAACTGCGTAGCAATTCATCAAAGTGATCGACAACACCAATGTCATATCAATAAAATCACTTGAAACATTAAATTATTGTGTACACGACGCACATTCATCGTGAATGACCTAAGGTGATGAGCAGGTCAGTCGCCATAG